TAATATCTGCACGGACGTGGAACATCCTCCTAACTTTTCAGCGCTCTAGCTTCTCGGATCCCGGAGATTGGACTTTTGCCAAAAAAACTTTGACTGGCTTTTACAAGTTAACCACGCTTTCCCCGGGGACGGGATTAAGTACGCTAATACGTTCTTGGACGAGGAACATCATCCCAAGTTTTCAGCGCTCTAGCTTCTCGGATCCCCGAGTTTTCGACTTTTGCAAAAAAAAAATTTGGCAGGTTCTTACGCGCTTACCACGCTTTCCCTGGGGACGGGATTAAGTGCAAGTTAAGGACATGCCAAATTTTTTTTGCAAAAGTCCAAAGTTCTGGGATCTGAGAAGCTAGAGCGCTGAAAACTTAGGAGGATGTTCCTCGTCCAAGCTGGTGTTAATGCACTGGATCCCGTCCCCAGGGAAAGCGTGATAGGCGCGTAAAGGCCTGCCAAATTTTTTTGGCAAAAGTCCAAACTCGGGGTCTGAGAAGCTAGAGCGCTGAAAGCTTAGTAGGATGTTTCTCGTCCAAGTATGTGTTAACGCACTGAATCCTGTCCTCAGAAAAGGTGTGGTGGGCGCGTAAAGGCCTGCCAAAATTAATACCCATTTGGACGGGGAACATTCCTCTAAGATTTCAGCTTTCTAGCTTCTCAGATCCCCGAGTTATGAAAATACTTGAAAAAAATTTTGGCGGGCTCTTACGCGGACCACGCGGGCAATGGCGCCCATTTTGTGGATTGGGGCTCGTATGTACATGTTGACTAAGCTACCAAAGTTTCAGCTCTGTAGCTTTTGTAAGTCTTGAGATGAAAAACCGTGAGAGACGCACACACAGACAACTCCCCGTCAATATGCGTTTTTCGCATTGCATAGCTGCAAAAAACGCACAACAAAACGCCTCACCGTGAAGGGTGAAATATGACGAATACTGGTTTCAAACTCTTAGTTCAGCTCTATCCCTGCACGAATTTGTTTATTCGTTTGGTGATAAATGCTAATTACTAAAGCTTAACTCGGCTTAGCTCGTCTTCATAAAACGCATCCGCTTTTGCACTAATCAAATGAGAACCAAGCTGTCATTGGGTATCGTTTTTTGCTCTGCATGGAAGTAAGGAATTGATAAATCTGAAAAATTGATATTGATAAACCAAGAATGTAAGAATAGTGATAAATCTGATTCGTAACTTTGGCGAAATGAACTGAGCTATTCGAGCTAATATATAAAGAAAGTATGGCTTAGTTCATGCATGCAGCCAACGCCTTGTAAAACAGCTGAAGCTCGAATTGTGTTAGAGCGGAGCGTCAAATTCCTCTTCCGTTGAAAACAAAGCGTTTAGGCCACGGCCTGCTATTGAAATTTTTGTTATTGTAGGTGTTTTTCTGAGTGCTCTTCAAAGGTAACTTCTAGTACTGGCAACACTGAACCTTTTAGCTGAAGCACGGCATAATCAACGACCTTTTTCAACTGGAAATTTTAATGCGAATCATCAACTGTGAATCATCAACTGTGGGTGAAGCGTAAATCAAATTAAAATATTACTAAATGTCATATGACGCCGAACTTCCTGACGTCGCTGAATTTCCCAAAAGCTTCAGGCTCAGGTGACGCCGATTTCAGGACTGAATTGTTAATTCAAACCCATCGGCTAATAGTTTAAGCCTGGGATTGAAATCATTTGTATTCGCTCAAGTGAGCACCGAATTTTCATGCTTTGCTTTTTGAAAGTCATCTTAAGCTTGGGTGAGCGCAACCTAGAAGAAGCGCAATTCAGGAAATGTGTTCAACAACTGCTAGTAATATATCGGCCATCATATGGAGCATTGAATAAGTAGGAAGCTTGAAAAAAAAAACTCAAAAATAACTGAGCTGGGACAGAAAATACCTCAGACGTCTTCCGGTGATAACTCGGAGTCAACTACTCCACTAAATTACTACTTATTTATTACCTTCTCTCATAGTTTCACCCTCCGTGACTTATCTGCCTTCGTTGTTTAGAAAATGAAGAAAGCAGAAGTACAAACCATACATGCGTAAAAAGCAAACATTAAGGAGGAAGCGGTCGCGCCTAGGAGGGGAAAGAAGACGGATGAAAATCATATATTCGTTACTTGTCACATGGCATGAAAGACAACTAAGTTGTAAAATACTAAGTATATCAAATATGCAACTAAGTACAACAGTATTTAAAAGACAGTGGCAAGAGAGAGAGAGAGAGAGCAACAAAAAATGCTGAAACACAAACTAACAATGAACGCTAATATCTTGGCACGATTAAAACAAGTCAGCCTTTTGTCAGGCTATTTATAACTTGGAGAGGTGCGGCACTGAACAAAATACAGAATTCACATCAAATCAAGAAAGTCCCCATTTTGCTCTCTGTGAGAAGCGGAGACATTCAGGGATACTCCGCAAGTGCCAACAGCAATCATTCGCTAGCGGGGTTGTCGATGACGTTCTTTTTCGAAGCATCTGAGAACTAAGTTGTGGGTAATGAATTCTCATGTATTTTTTGTATTTTTTAAAAATTTTGAATTTGGTCAAGTCAGAAAATTTTGTTCATTTCGAAATTTCGAATTTCGTTCATTTCGAATTTGTTTCGTCTTAGTCCAGCTCACATCACTAATCCTAACTTACGATTCCAAGTCGTAGCATGGTCTAATATTTAACTTATGGAAGAACGGATCTACGACCTTGTAACTAAAAATAAAAGTTAGCGCGACGTGAACCCATACATTCAGAAATAAGCCATCAAACTTCCCTTCCGCACCTTATTGCGAACGATTCTAAGAAGCCGTACAATGACGTTGTCATTCTGCGGAGGAGCATAATACCACCTAGTTTGCTAATTCGAGATCATACCATAAGTTGCAGAACTCTTCCGAAATGTCCACTTTATCCAGCTTTACCTCAGCCTGAAAAAAAAAAAGAATTGCTATGAAAAATTTTTTCATCGCTTCATCGTTTCCTTTAAGCTTTGTTGCCTTCACTTAACAATCCATCGCTTCCTCTAAGCTTTGTTGCCTCTACTTAACTTTATCTAATCAGTCAATTAAACCATCCCATCTTACTGTACATCTTTTCAACATGCGTCCGATACTGTGTGGGTCATTACCCAAAATTTTGGCGAACCAATTTTTCTAGTTCAGAGAATCATATAGATTCTATGAAAATTCTTTAAATTTTGGCACTGAATTCTTCGCCAACTACAGTTGAAAAAAAAAACTCCTCCCAAAAACTTTCATTTTCTTTGTTTAGCTCTTTCAGTGTTAATTTCCTGCTGATGGCGGCATTTAAATACCAATAAAACAAACCTTTCCGATAACAGGAGTTCTGCTAAAAACTCCATAGTTGGTCGCATCTTTAACTTTGAAGATGAGCAGATGATTTTTGATATCGCTTGAATGTAAATCAAATTCGAACCTCAAATATATGAAACTATAGTTAAGCAAAGAATGAAACATCAGCTTATTTCTGAGCAACTCTCAAATGAGGGAGCTATCGGTAATCACGCCAGAAGGTACCTGCTATTGGCAGCTACTACTGATTGAGTTACTTCCGAATGCCTTGGCCTCTCAAACAGAATGAATACGGGAGGAGAGAAGCTGACTTTTGATATTAAATAGAAGCATCGGCGAACTATAGTGCAGCGGAGTCAAACAAGTGGAGACTACAAAATCAAAAACAAAACTGTGAATGGTAATTTGAGGAACTCTGATGTAAAAAGGTCGAAAAATTTAGGTTAAAAACGGAAATTCATAACTTAAATCGAAATGTCTTAGTAGGGGAGCAGTTTTGTGCTATAGTGATAAGAGGAAGAACAACAGCACGTCGGGTTCCTTTGCTAAATATTAACATAATGCTATCAGATTGCTTTTAAAAAGCAACCGTCGGAAGAAGTCATCACCGATAACTTTGCCCGGAGATGGCTGCTGCTAACAATCGAATGAATGCCCCTTCGTCTCTAGGGAGTGAAAAAGGGAGTGATTTGGCCTCGCTACTGAGGATCTGTTTAGTAGTTCGAAAGATACATGCGGAATAATAAATGCAGTATTTGAATGAATTTCTAATTTTAGAAAGCCGCAATTTCAAAGATAATAAGAAAAAACCAACTCGCTATCGAAAACTGGATCCAAGCATCTTTCAATTATCGAAGTTTTTCGTTTCTCGCCTCCAGCAAATGAGCTTTCTGTCAGTGTCACAGTAACATATGGGTCTGCCGAACCTTGAGTATCAATTGGCTGAAGACCTCTACAAATCAGTGATTGCTGTTACAACAAATTCTCGGCCAAGAATATGTAGTTCGGAATAAATGTTCTAACTTACGCTACGCGTATCACTCGAACAATTAATTTGCTTGACTCTTTCAAATGTCGAATGCCAAACTGCAGGCGTCCCAATCGACCACCGCTGCAAATACCGGAAGTAATTTTAACATTTTCGCAAGAAGTGCTCCATTACCTTCAGAGAGAAATTCAAGTTAAACGACGTCAGAACTCTTCCATACTCATTTTCTATGAGAGGCAAACACACCTGAGACTAGCTTAAGAGTAAGTGTCAACAGCAACTACCCATTCGCAAAACTTTCGTGTCTTCCTCTTTCGAACGGCAGACGCTAATGGCGCGTATGATTCCCTTTTGTTTAGCTATATAATGGCAACTGCCCATCGCGCACTTCCCTGTGGTCAGTCTGTTGGCGATTCTGACATTCGTTTCATTTCCTGAAGGGAGCATTAGCTCGCAGTTCTCGCGACAGAAGCACCTGGCAACGTTCGTGATATCCTGTGAGGTTACCGACGATGAGCTGACACGCGGTTATTGACTGGAAAGGAGCTGAGACCCTGTTTCGGGTAAAAACTAGTAACAGAAGGTGTTTATGGGTGACGCCCCGACTACTACAAGAAGTACCATTTACTAACTAAATTCTGTTTTCACAGCAACATCAAATTTTTAACGGACACTACAAAAAAACTCACACTCTTTCCTTGCACTGAGTATGCCTCGGTGAAAAAAGACGTTCACCGAGAGTACGTCGACGCCTCAGCATACTTCCAGTTGATTCGTTGCTGTTCTGTCGCATTACCAATAATTGGTTCAGTGGTATTTTTGGTTCTACAATGAACGCTGTCCCAGCAGTAGCTGCTTTGCTCGATTGTGAAGGAAATATATCGTTCGAAGGACTTGAATTTTGTCCACCAACACCATTGAGTGACGGTTTTTCGGCTCTTTCGATGAACTTTTCTGAAGTGACGTTTATTTTAAAAGTAATAACAACAATGACAAGTGAAACTCTTTACCAATAAGAAAATAAAGCCTCCCGATCTCAAGAAAGCTGCATCATTCTCAAAAGAAAAGTCCCAAAACAGGAATACAGGAGTTGCTAGTGGTATCAGTGGCGAGAAGAAACATGATAATGAAGTAAAAGCCGATCAGTAAGACTGTCCTCTGCGGAAAAACTACATTTTATTTGTTGTATTGACGGAATACAGTTTAACAACCATCCGAAACGTCTATCACCGAAATTTTAAATCTACAACACCCGCACAAAGGTAACTTCCAAGTTTCACTAGAAGAAATTTATTGCTTCCACTCTCTGATAAACAGCGCAGTGCGAAATGGTGCATACTTCTAACTGCTCAAACAAATGCTTCGAAATGGTGAATGTACCCTGATTTCACTGCGGCTGTTCGATATGTCACAAGATACACCGTTGGAAATCTAAAGTCAAGCAGCCATGAGGTTGCTCTTACGCAACCTTGTTCATTTCGAAGACTCACATGAAAGGTGACGTAAGAAAATGTTTACCGTTTCCGTAAACAGCTTCTTGACCAGTAGATTCATCAAGTGCTGCCGGTTTCCGCCTTTGTTCACCAGCTACCAAAGCCTACAAAAATAAGTGAATTTCTCGTTGGCTTCATGAGACCAAAGCATTGCCTGAGGAAATATAATCCGAACTGATTATTTACCCTTATTCGTGCTGTAATAACCATTGGACTTTGATGAACGCCCTGCGTAAGAGGAA